AAATCTGTAAATATGAATGTGAAAATAAACTTGATATTCTATCTCTACACACCGAATGGAGCATTTTCATGTATAATTTGTTGATTGAAGTGATATATTTGATAGACTTGATCTGACTTGTCTTTCCTTTCAGTCAACTTTGTAAAATCAACATTTACATTCCCATGGTACCATTTCTAATTCTTATGATATGAAATTGAATTCTATATCACTATAGATCATATAAATCATTTTGGTAAAGTTTCAATAGGTGGTCCTTTATCAAGATTTCCCACCTTTTCATCATAGTTGACCATGTGTGGTTGAGGGAAGAAATCTTTAAATATGAAAGTTAAAATAAATTTGATATTCGATGTTTACTAATCAAATGGAACATTTTCATATTAGGATTCAATATGTTTTGATGAGAAACTCAAAACCTATAGTTGACCTCTTTTACCTCACAACTTCCCTTTTCACTTGATACTTTATATCTACCGACATGAAGTTTAGAAATTTCATATGAGAGTGATTATGAATGTTGTTAGTGAAGATATATACTATATAATCTCATTAAAGGATTTTGAAATTATCATTCTTCCTATGGTTTCATTTTATAATTTTTAATCTGACATTATTTACAAAGTTAATATTTTATAAATTGAAAAACTAAATATAATACATTGTTCTACTCATCATTTACAATCGAATGATATAATATTCAATAATTTGGGCTAGGGTTTGAACTTTGAAACATTGGGTCTGGTATTTCAATTTTAGGTTCAAAGGTTTAGATTTTTAGGCTTGGGTTTTTAGGCTTGGGTTTTTAGGCTTGGGTTTTTAGGCTTGGGTTTTTAGGCTTGGGTTTTTAGGCTTGGGTTTGGGTTTGGGTTTGGGTTTGGGTTTGGGTTTGGGTTTGGGTTTGGGTTTGGGTTTGGGTTTGGGTTTGGGTTTGGGTTTGGGTTTGGGTTTGGGTTTGGGTTTGGGTTTGGGTTTGGGTTTGGGTTTGGGTTTGGGTTTGGGTTTGGGTTTGGGTTTGGGTTTGGGTTTGGGTTTGGGTTTGGGTTTGGGTTTGGGTTTGGGTTTGGGTTTGGGTTTGGGTTTGGGTTTGGGTTTGGGTTTGGGTTTGGGTTTGGGTTTGGGTTTGGGTTTGGGTTTGGGTTTGGGTTTGGGTTTGGGTTTGGG